GAATTCAGGAGACCCATCTACGAAGGGGCAAGAGAGAAGGTGCTAAATTGGCTAGCTGGTTTTCTTATTCTGCATAAGAGCACTGACATGTATCTCTTCATCTGGACTGAGAGACCTTGCTTTGGGATGGGAGAAAAAGAGAGGACAATGGAGTGTTGATTTACAAAAAATGTCCCTGTGACACCTAACAATGGTAGCATTTTGGCATTAGTGTGCACTGGAGTAACCACAATGACTGTACGACTTCCATATAGAAAATGGAGGAGTGGAATGTGGCAGTGGGGGGGACGGGAATGTGGCTGGCTAACATTAAACATTTGTCACTAAACCTTTGACAGTTTGACATACGTTGTTGTTGTTAAAAATATTTTGAATTAATCTTTCTGAAGCATGCCATACACACAAGTGTGTATGTGTGTGTGTGTGTGAGAGAGAGAGAGAGAGAGAGAGAGAGAGAGAGAGAGAGATATGAAAGGATACTTTTGCCAGGACAGTGTTGTAGTTTTTTGTTTTGTTTTGTTTTTCTTTGCTCTCCTGGCCTAAAAACAAGTAAGTGGCATTGAAGCTCAATTAATATAATGAACATTACAGTGACAGAAAATGTGGCTCACCCTGCTATTGAGGAAGCTTTTTCAACAGCTGCCAAACTGCTCTTCATACGGTAGTGTTTTTGTTTGCTGGAACGTCGTATACCCTGTGTCATCAGCATGCAATTGCAGCAATTGACTGATTTAGCTAATTCCCAGGATTACAAGGGTAAGAAACAACATGAATAGCAGTGTGTGGCTGAGGAAGGAAGCATCAAAGCGATGATTATGGCACAAATGTATTTCAGTCGGCAATCTTTTTTATTCCAGATGCAGACAACTAGATGTATCTGAGATACATAGTGAGGCATCTTATCTAAAATCCCACATTTACCTTAGAAAATAATGGGACGAATCCTAAGAAGTGTCAGTGGCGCTTCACTTGTGGAACTTGACCTTTAAAGCTCTAAACGGCCTTGGCCCAGTATACCTGAAGGAGCATCTCCACCCTTCATCATTCAGCCCGAACACTGAGGTCCAGCTCCAAGGGCCTTCTGGCAGTTCCCATACTGTGAGAAGTGAGATTGCAGGGAACCAGGCAGACGGCCTTCTTGGTAGTGGTGCCCGCCTTGTAGAACGCCCTCCCGCCATATGTTAAACAGATAAACAACTACATGACTTTCTGAAGACATCAGAAGGCAGCCCTGTATCGATAAGTTTTAAATGTTTGGTATCTTGCTGTGTTTTTATTATGTTGGAAGCCGTCCAGAATAGCTGGGGCAACCCAGTCAGATGGGCAGTGTGTAATAAGTAAGTAAGCAAGTAAGTAAGTAAGTAAAATTATTATTATTTCCCTCCTTTGCCTCTCCACTTAAGCCCCCACTACCCCCAAAAAAGCAGAGACATCACCTTGCCAACAAAGGTCCGTATAGCTAAAGCTATGGTTTTCCCAGTAGTGATGTATGGAAGTGAGAGCTGGACCATAAAGAAGGCTGATCGCGGAAGAATTGATGCTTTTGAATTATGGTGCTGGAGGAGACTCTTGAGAGTCCCATGGACTGCAAGAGGATCAAACCGATCCATTCTTAAGGAAATCAGCCCTGAGTGCTCACTGGAAGGACAGATCCTGAAGCTGAGGCTCCAATACTTTGGCCACCTCATGAGAAGAGAAGACTCCCTGGAAAAGACCCTGATGCTGGGAAAGATGGAGGGCACAAGGAGAAGGCGACAACAGAGGACGAGATGGTTGGACAGTGTTCTCTAAGCTACCAACATGAGTTTGACCAAACTGTGGGAGGCAGTGGAAGACAGGAGTGCCTGGCGTGCTCTGGTCCATGGGGTCACGAAGAGTCGGACACAACTAAACAACTAAACAACAACACCCCAAGTCCATCCACAGTGCTGGTTGTGTGGAATATGGTGCATGGGCTACAGTTGGAGGTGAGGCTGGCAAAAATCATGCCCCCCCCACCTTCTTATACAAGCTGAATTGCCTGTCTGTTCATGCCGGACACCTTTGGATCCAAGCTGATGTTTTTTAACTTTTTATATCTTTCCACTTTGACACACCATCAGGAAAACGTGGCTCTCCTTAACTAGTATTGGGCCCATCTACATTCCAGGTGCTTCTCTCACAAATGAACTGATTAGATTCTGTCGAGCAATCTATATACGGCAGTCTGTGATTAAGGACACCATACACAACACTTCACTTCTTAATTTTTCAATTGGCAGCTGTTGCCTTCCTACGTAGAAAGTAAATATGCAGCTACATTACATTCCTTTCCCTCAAACTCTCTATCTTATTTTCAATTTCCTTTTTTGCCCTTTGGAAGTAACCCCTATTTTCAAAGAGCTTGGCTCCTTCATCCTGTTTCCCTCTAATTTTGGGGATACTCTTAACTACATTTCTCGGTGACAAGGAAAAAGCAGACTCTCATGACTTGAGACAAAATCCCTTAAAGAGACTCACTGCTTAGAATGGGAGAGGAAGCTTCTTTAAATTACACAAAAACCAGGGAGGCCTAATGCCATCTCTGCTAAATTCTTGCTAGTAAGGTTGTTTAGCCAACAGACTATGTCTAAATCCATTTCGGTAATACTTTTACTTGGCTCACTTGGTTGCATTCATTTAGCAGATTCAATCCTTTTTTTGCTGACTGAAGATAGAAATCCCAGCTAAAGCATGCCAATATTATCATTCACAGTACATTTCCCCCACAAGTGCAATGCATTATTGCTCACAGTCTTTGGACAAGATTACATAGGTCATGACTAGTCCTAAGCAAACATAAGGACTGCGCCTTTCCTAAACCACTTCTGAATTCATCAAATAATACATTTTCATCAGAAAACCTATTAAAAGTTAAGCACGGAAATGCTTCCCATTTTAAGGTTTGCTTTCAATTTAAAGCATTTTGCACTTACTAAGTAACCTTTAAATGCTTCACAAATATGCCATAGTGGTGCTATTCATTCTCCTGAAATTTCATGCCAGACTTTTCATAAAAGAAATGGAACAGAGGTTTCTGAGGTTCATAAACTGTGGAGGTGGCATTTCTGTATCAGGTAGATTCTACCCATATCATTTATGCTGCTGCAAAAGCATCCGTTTTCCCAGTCCCTCCTCAATGTTGGTCCATGAGCTGCCTCACAGAATTCAAATGCAACACCATTTGGATGTGCAAATGTTTTGCAGACTTGAAAGTCATACAGGACCAAACTGTGGCCAGAAACGGGTGTCTTTCTAACACCTAGATGATTAACTTGAGCAGGCAGTAAATGAAAGAGTCCACTTTGGGGCAGAGAACCTATCAAATTCCAAATATATTTATTTAGTAACAACCAGTAGACCACTTAATCAGAACACTAATCATTACAGTGGTACCTCGGGTTACATATGCTTCAGGTTACAGACTCCCCTAACCCAGAAATAGTGCTTCAGGTTAAGAACTTTGCTTCAGGATGAGAACAGAAATCATGCTCTGGCAGCGCGGCGGCAGCAGGAGGCCCTACTGGCTAAAGTGGTGCTTCAGGTTAAGAACAATTTCAGGTTAAGAACAGACCTCCGGAACGAATTAAGTACTTAACCCGAGGTACCACTGTATACATTTTTTAAAAAAAATATCAATGAAACCTAGAAAAACCCAGGGGAAAAAAATGGTTGGCTTGCTGAAAAAAAAAGTTTTACTTCAAAACAGCATAGTGAGGGTGCTTGCCTAATATCAATAGGCAGTGAGTTCCAAAGGGCAGGTGCTGCCGCCATGCTAAAAGGTCAGTGGTGTTGTTCTTAATCAATTAAATGGGTCTTTATGAGCTGGTATCGCTAATGTCTACATGACATAATATTCCAAGTAAATTTATTAAAACCTTTCATCTGAGGAAGACTTATGGCATATCCTGCTCCTCAGTGGCAAAACATGGAGCAGGATTACAGCCTGAGGTCAGAAGACTGATTTGGTATAAGTGAATAATTGACCCAAGGGCAGGGAAAACCAAAATTCAATAAGTAAACCTGCTGAGATCCTGTTATTTGTCCTGTTGTGATAATGATACATTAGGACCACTAGGAGGGACAAGCAATTTTACCACAGAAAGCATCATGATTCATCCTGGCAAGATGCTTTTATTACCTTGCTTTTGCGACCCTTTTGTTTAAGGATTCTGCAGTCTGACCAAAGAGAAAAGACCACTTGTTCCATGGCACTCTGTATGATCAAAGGTGTAAGGCTCCATTCTAGCCTGTTTCATCAACAAAGAGCTTTGTCCGGAAAGCATCTTTTGAGTCAAAAACGAAAGAGCAGATTTCTGACAAATAGAGTCAGCCTTTCAAAGATGTGAAACCCATTTGCCCAGATCCAAAGAGGTATGGTCGAAAAGCTTGTGACTGCCTAAAGCAGGGGTTAGGAACTTTCTCTGTGCCATGGGGTGACATTCCCTTGGGGGTAGCCTTTCAGGGGCCACATGTTGTCAGCAGAGGTGGTTTTAGGGTAGTGAAACTGAGTCACGCACTGCAGGGGGTGCCGCAAAAATGCTGTAGAATGGAGCACAAGAGAGGTGGGAGGCACCGAATTTTAGCATCAAACGAAATTTGAGAGCCTAAAGTCCGCCACTGGTTGTCAGCAGGCAGGAGATGGAGCCAGTGGAACTGGGACAAAAGGGAGGAAGGGTCCAAGCCAGGGGTCAGCAACCTTTTACAGCCGTGGGCCAGTCCACCGTTCCTCAGACCATGTGGTGGGCTGGACTATATTTTGAAAAATAATAATGAACGAATTCCTATGCCCCCAAAATAACCCAGAGATGCATTTTAAATAAAAGGACACATTCTACTCATGTAAAAGCACACTGATTCCTGGACCGTCCACAGGCTGGATTTAGAAGGCGATTGGGCTGTATCTGGCCCACGGGCCTTAGGTTGCCTACCCCTGGTCCAAGCCAAAACTGGACAAGGCACCTGTTTTTTTCTCTCTTTCTGCCACCTCCTTTCTTTCTTGCACCCCTTTCCTCCCATTTCCCCATCCTTGCCACCCACATGGAAATAGGCTGGTTGCTGAATGTAGTTGTTAAGCTGCAGGTTCCCATCTCATGGTTTTTCGCTCCCCACTCTGCTTTTTAATAAGAGTGCTGCTGCACTCAGTTGGTACATGTTTTCCTTCCCATTGGCATCTAGTTGGCTGCTGTGAGAAAGCTTCTCCTCCTCCCGGAGGGGAGGGTGTTGGGATACTGCCAAGGAGACAAAGTCCATCATGACTCCACGTCGTCTCCGGACGTCCATCGATGTCCCGTAGACACGCAGTATCAGCAATTAGCGACACGAGCTCCAGAAATAGCTTGCCACATTCCAGAGCTGATGCACGCTCTATCAGCAGATAATGCACAGCAAAAGATGCACTCAGGAGAGCATTATTTACAAGTTTATTCAGCGTTGATCAGAACAAAGAAAACATGACTGCCTGCTTCAGTGTCTCAGACACAGAGAGAGAAACGAAAGCATAGACAAAACATAAACTTCCTGTGAACAGGAAATACGCAGACTCTGTGACTCACAAAGCCTGCTCCCTTTTAAGGTGGAACGGAAATATCCTAACAGAGGGGTTGTGATCGGGAACCGGTTCCCATGCTGCGCAGGGAGCGTTCCGGCCCCTGCTTCCCATTGTCACTGACGCGCTACGCCCCCCGGATTGGCTTCCAATCAGGGGGAAGCTCGAGGGCGTGGTTTAGCCGCTCAAATGCGGCCGCGGCAGCTCTCCCCTCCATTGCGCTGCCGGATTTCTGCGAGTCACCCACCCACCACTCCCTTTAGTGCATCACTTCTCGCTTGACCTTGCTATGAACCCACGGTTGGTCGCCATGGTTGCCCAGGGGGCCTGGTAGGAGTTTTTTCCCAATTGGCAAATTGGCACCGGCCTCTTGGTTTTTTCGCCTACCTCGTAGCAATCGTCACAACTTTCTCGGTATTGGCGGTTAGGCATTGGAATGTGTTGTTGGTGTATGGAAGGGCAAGGTGTGGCCATTGCCTACCCCTTCACTTATGGGTATTCCGTTAAAGGAATCCGGCGGTCGTGGATCCTGCCCAATGCCCTGCATGGCTGGGGGCCATGGCACGACCCCCAGTGACATCAGGGGAGAGCTTATAGTTGTATTTGCATTAACAGGCTCCCCCTACTGGTGGTTAACCCTCATTAGACTCACCCCTCTCCGAGTGGGTGGAGTCAAGATTTGCTGTTGTCCAGTGCCTAAGCCAATACATCTCACATGCTGTAATCAATAAAGTTGTGGCCTTTTTCTAGCCCATTAACCTAATAATTGTGTCCACGTGTCTTTATTATTCCCAAGTGGGGGGACAGGTCCTCGAATCACAACAGGATGTTGGGCTAAATGGGGTCTTTGATCTGACCCAGCAGGTGCTCTTCTCTGTGTTCTTAACCGTAAACCTTCATTCAGTATTAAAAAACACACATGCACTGGTTTGGAAACTGACCCAGAATTCAAAGGAGGCTTGTTATACAGCAAATGGGATGTGGTGTTTGAGGTACACTAGCCCACCCATAGCACGGGGAACTAATTGGGTGGCTCTCTGAATCGCAGGCAGCTTGCATCTAGAATATCTGAACATGAATCCCTTGCCATGTCAACTTTAAAGCTGACAGTTTAACTGGCTTCAGGAAGCTGATCTCTATTCACATTTTACAGGTGAAAGGGAAGATTAATGCATCTTTTCTCCAAACCACTATCATTTTAAAGACATAGCTACAGTATTGTATTATATATATATAAACTGTGTTGAAAAAAACATTAAAAATGAGCAAATGTTTTATTCAAAATCAGAAGATAGGCAGCTGTCAAAATACATCTTTAGTAATGGGCTATCCTTCACTTTAAAGAGCCTTCTGGAAGTCTATATTTTTACTATCTCCTTTTCTGGTGACATTTCACAAAAACATATCATTGCAATGTTTCATGCATTCACACAAAAATGCTTCAATTTCTGACCACGAGCCTTTGCATAAACAAGTCTTGTAATCCATTCTCCTTGCTGATAATGCGCACAAAATAAAAAGGCCTCCACATGGCAAGAAGGCATTTGTCTGTTTCAGGTGAGCAATTTTAAAGACAAATGGCTGGCAGTAAATCTCTCATTATGACAACAATCCATGATAAAACAAACTTTGTTCCTAAGTGGACTTGTCTGCCAGTATAAGAGGAATTCATTAACATAAATGTATAAGCTAAGGTAAAATCAGTGGCATATATTGTCAGTAAAATTGAAACACGACAGTTCCTGACTCTAAACTACATGCTTCATGTAACAAACAGTAAATCTAGAATAAGCACGTTCTCTGTGCTGCTAAAACTGGTAAAGAGAGCAAGAGAAGACTCACAAAAATGTGTACTGTTCATCCGAATTATAAACTGTCTCGGAAATACTGATAATTTGTCTTTTAGGGTATAATAAACACACATTTGCTATACTTTAATCTTTAAGATTAATTTCCACTAACTTCTTCAGATGGTGGCTAAGCTTGAAAATAATACAATTTGTTCCATAAAATGTTTAAATGTTTTTTCCATTAGATTAGTCATATGGGAAGAAAGGGGAGTTGTTACACACACAACACAACACACACCCTAAATGAAATCTAGTCCATCATTGCAACTGTGTGCCCACTGAAGCGGCCTGATTGTATGAGCTTATTCCTTGTGTCTCTGCAATCTTTCCCGAGGCAATTCAATTCACCAAGTCTTATCTCCAGGAGGAGAAGGAGCTAGGAATGTCAGCTGCATGTGGACCTTCTGAGTCCACCAGTAGCAGCATGGAGTGTCTTCCAAACCCCACATGGCATTGAGAAACCATGGCTTACTCCAGAGATGCGCATCTGGAATGCCCATGTTATGGTATGTGTGAACCAGCTGCACTTCTTTGATTGCTTTTTAATTCATGCAATGTTCTCTCAGTTGAGATTTTATCTCTTCAATCCCTCCCAGTATTTAAGAAATGACTCAGAAGCTATTAATTTCATGTACTCATAATTGTCTCCCAAAGCAGATTGTAAAGGACATGGAGCTACAGGCAGGGGAGAAGAAGCTGAGGTCTACTTGTGTAAACAGAAGTCTGTTCTGCTTGTGTGTGGACAGATATGGCCACAATTTTATATATTGATGGCCTCTCAGCAGAACTGGTGGAGTGGACCCTGATGAAACATTGCTGCTGGCTGATAGTTGCAATTAAATGAAGGTTAAAATATTGTATCGATCCAGAGATTATGAAATTATCTATGTAATAAGTACATTAATTTCATCATATACAAGCAAAGCATTTCTAGATATCGGCTAGTTTATTAATGTTTTCTTATCTATGATAGATACCACATAAAAATCAGACATCTGCTCAGTGCTATTTTTCTAGGAAAAGAGGTGCTGGAACTCACCATGAACGCCTCTCTTGTTCTCTTAGAATAGCAATGGTGTCAGAACTGAGTTCTGGCGAGTTCTGGCTGAAAAAAGCCCTGCATCTGCTGTTACCTGTCCAAACCCCATCCTATGGGATTCAGTCACATATCCAGTCACATAAAATTGGTCCCATATTATTTGCCAAACACATGTGTTAATGGGAAATTCCAAAGAAAATGGACTTAAGGGCTTTTAAAGAATACTGAATGAACAACAAATGTTCAAACATTTGATAAAGCAATTGACTGAAAACAAAATTACAAACTGATTTTTTTTGCACCTTCTTATGGCATTGAATACTGTACATTCTGTTTGTGTGAAGAACTCTTATTTGTGACATCTAAAAACAACAACATTCATTTTCCTCCTGTTAATCAATCAGCTATGCAGGAATGTCTTTTTAGCAGCATTAATATTACGAGAGAAAAATGAAACAGACTTTGGCTTGATCAAATGAGGATAATACAAATGAACTGAACACAAAGAGCAAACTAATGAGAGGAAAATTAATATCCTGGGGTTGCGTTACAGAAAAAATAAAACTGACCTTACTTGAGCTGATCAAGAAGCTGCAGATTTCATCAGTCTCAAAGGATGCTCTGTGATACCTGCTCTGGAAGTCTGAGTAAGTTTTGCTTGGCCAGTGCACTCAAATTTGTCTTTTGAAGGACAAGTGGCAAGCACAGACCACAAGACTGTATCACTAACCCATGACTAGTTGAACACTTGCCTAGTCTTCACTACACAGAAGAAACAAGAAGGCAATGTCTGAAGTTGAACTATTGTATTTTCCTACAAGTCATAGCTGTCAACCGTCCCTTATTTGGCAGGAAAGTCCCTTATCCCAGTGCTGTGTCCCGCTGCTGTCCCTTATTGATGATGTCCCTTAAATTTCCCGGGTTTCAAAGGAAGCAGCTCCTCTCCCTCCCTCCCTGCCAGCCAGGGAGGAGGGAGGCTCCAACTGTGTTGCTTGGCTGTGTTGCTCACCCAATAAGGAGTCTAAGAATGACTGGGGGGTGGAGCTTGCATGCCTTGTGCTGATCAAATCGGCCGCGTTGCCTGGGGATTCGACTTTGCTCAGCACTTCCCAGCGGAGAGGTGACGGTGGTTTTCCTTGCTGCATCCCCTTTGCCAGGTTGCTGCGCTGTGGGAACCACTGCTTGAGGCTTCGTTTGAATGCTGGCTGGGCTTTCTGCCTTTGGCTCGGAGGGGCTCAGAAGTTGAATATACCTGCACTGGGAAAATCCCTTATTTGGGCTGCTGATCCCTTATTTTCAAGGCTGCTGGACCCTTATTTTCAAATCTGTAAGTTGACAGCTATGTTACAAGTAGATGCATGCTTTCAAATGTATGTGACCCTCACATATCTCACAGTAAGCGAGGTGCAAGAGGTCCTGCAAGGTGAAGAGGAAAATGGCACCTATCAAGAGGCTTTAGAGAGGATGAGATGTTCAGCAGTGCCAAAATAAGTTGATCAGAGAGATATAATTTGCTTTGCATTGTTGAGTTCAGGCAACAGGATTTGAATGTTTGGCAAAGGCTTTGGGCAATGCGACTGAAGCATTTGGGCGTAATATGGAGCCCAAGGGGAACAGACATTTCAGACCAAAACCTATCTTGCGTAGATACTGTTTTTAATGCTTTTCTCTGATGACTGAACTTTGAGAAGTATGGGGAAAGAGATTCATGGGATAATCTACATTGAAATAGTTGTGTGAATGCTGTTGGTAAACAGGGAACAAAGAATGAAAGGGATAATGTCAGAAATGTGATATGAGGCGACTGAATAAATTATATCATCTTTTATTTATTTCACCTTCCTTTTTTTAAAAAAGAGAATGCACTGCTCTGTAATTTAAGGCACACTTAATATTTAAAATATTTAAATAGTAAAATATTCACAATAAAATATTTAGAGAGTTAAACAGGATGCATCCTGTAAAGAATCCATCAAATAAAGGGACCGTGTTTACGATTATTATGATGTATTATTACACTGGGCAAGTATATTTGTGTTAAAATATTCATTTTGCAATATTATACAGAGTGTTCCACTGATCACGTAAATAGCATATTCTCCGCCACTATCTAGATGCATTTAAAATGATAATAATGTAGTTCTCTCCAGGTGAAACCTTTAATCAAGGTTCAGAGGGTTCCAGTTTGCTCTGTTCAGAGGAAAAGAAGCAACAGAAATCTCTACTATTCCTATGAGCTTGATGCAAAGAACCATGGTTGGAAGCAAAATATCTACTACAGTGGTACCTCAGGTTAAGTACTTAATTCGTTCTGGAGGTCCGTTCTTAACCTGAAACTGTTCTTAACCTGAAGCACCACTTTAGCTAATGGGGCCTCCTGCTGCCGCTGCACTACCAGAGCATGATTTCTGTTCTCATCCTGAAGCAAAGTTCTTAACCTGAAGCAATATTTCTGGGTTAGCGGAGTCTGTAACCTGAAGCGTATGTAACCCGAGGTACCACTGTAGTTCTGTTCTGCTAATGCTTTCACAATAGTTCACATAGTGATCCTATTATTATTATTATTATTATTATTATTACTACTACTACTACTATTACCATTTTCATCGCCACTTTAAATTTTTAAGAAAAAATCTCAAAGTGATTTACAACACATTAAAACATAAAATAAAACAAAATCCAGAATAAAGCATTACTGAAGAAAGTCAAATATCAAGTATACATTCAAAGCAGCATAACTAATAGGAAACGAAAATATTATCTTAAAGATTTCAGAATAAAACATTACAAAGGAGGTCAACCACAGAATGCAGATTTAACACAGCAAAGCTAACAACAAGAAAATTACCTTAAACATTTCAAAAGAAAACACTACCGAAGGAAGTCACGTATAAAATTCACCTGTAAAACAGCATAGTTGGCTAGAGAATAAGATATTATCAGAAGCATAGAACCTGTTTGCTGCTGTTGCTGCCCATGGTGGTTCGTGGGGGGCAAGAGCTGTGGAAGCTCAGGCTCCATGACCTGTGTCTGCACTAACAGACAGCTAAGGTGGGCTGCACCTCAGGAAAAGCTTTCCTAAACAAAAAATGTCTTCTGTAGACACCAAAATATAACCACGCTAGGTGCCTGTCTGATTTTGGCTGATGACTGATTCCAGAGGGCTGGAGCTGTAACACTAAAAGTCCATTACCGGCTAATGCACTTCTGGGTCATATGGAATTCGCAGCAGTACCCTGAGAAGTACAGTTGTGGGGCAGGCCTATGGTCCCAGTCCCAAATTGTTCAGGGCTCTAAATCAGGGGTCAGCAAACTTTTTCAGCAGGGGGCCGGTCCACTGTCCCTCAGACCTTGTGGGGGGCTGGACTATATTTTTTGGGGGGAGGAATGAACAAATTCCTATGCCCCACAAATAACTCAGAGATGCATTTTAAATAAAAGGACACATTCTACTCATGTAAAAACACACTGATTCCCAGACCGTCCGCTGGCCGGATTTAGAAGGCGATTGGGCCGGATCCGGCCCCCGGGCCATAGTTTCCCTACCCATGCTCTCTAAATTCTAAAAATAGGAACTTGAATTGTGCCTAGCAGTATTTTGGCAGCCAGTGCAGCTCTCACTTTCTCACTGCATACCTTCACTGCCATGAAAAATCGTGCAAGGGTTGTGTAAGCTATTGCACCACAGAACATTTGTTTATGTAAAACCACGATGCCTTTGCACTGTGAAACTTTAAGTGTTGTTGAACCAACTGGAAACAATGACCACTGTGCTATCAAATTCAACATATACGTAAGCAGGCAATGGCTAAGCAAGTCCAACGCAGGCGCATTTGACTTTTAAAAAGGGGAAAGAGTAAAAAAGCAATCTAGAAACCCCCAAAGGGTTTCTTTTAAAATGAGAGATAGCTCAAGACCAGATATGTGCTACATAGTGGCAACAGGACCCACATACACAGAGTCAGATATTGCCTTCAGCTGGAACAATATGCAATAAGCACATTTTGCTTTTTTGAAAATACTAATAATTTTTCAAGGTATTGGCAGAGGTTTAATTGCAGGTGTTTGTTATGGCAACAGAGGTTTCTAAAGTGATTATAAAACAGACTTCTGCAGGTAGGCAAAATATGAAGGATCTTTGCTGTGATCCTCAAAATAATACTGGAAATAAGGGTGGTGGTATATTTCATAGACAGCAAATGGCATGTTCTTTTAAACCAGACTAGCTGCCTGGCATCCTGCAGCCTTAACTGTTACCCTGTCACAAATGATCTTACAACTGGTTAACTTCCAATTTCACCAGACAGTCTATGCCTGACATTTAATTAGTGACCCAATTATACCTTTTGCTGTTCTCAGCTTATAGGAGCAAAGGAAATCAAAATGGGCTATGAAGAGGAAGAAATTACAACCAGTTCTCTGTAGCCCACACAATATATAGGGCAGTAATGAGAAAAGGCCATAACTCTCTTTCGCAAAATTAATTTCGCTGGTTGAGTGGCTAAGACATTATTTTGGGGAATGAGCTCAATCATTTTAATAAGTACAGAGCATTTTTAGAAGGTGGAATTAAGTACTACTGCATTATTTATTTATTTGGGACATTTATAGTCTACTTTTCAAAAAATATATATATTCGTCACGCACTGATTCTGACAGACTACTAGGATTTAGGCAAGTTTTCTAAACTGTACAGAAACAAAGATGCTCACAGCATCCATTTAATTCTGCTCCCCCTTTTAATATATTCTCTATAGCACACAGCGTGTTCTATCCTGATGAGATTTCACCCCTCTAGACCTACAAAAATGTATGGCCTTTTTGGAAAAAAAATAATTTTTATTGGATTTTCCACTTAAGTCATATTCACATTTTGTTACATAATTCTGTAACTTAGCTATAATGAGTATGGGTTGCTCGTGCGTAAGTTGCCGCCTCTCCAGGCTTTGTTGCCTTGGTAAACCTTTCAGTCTGGGCAGCCCTTCACTTCGTGGCTGCCTCAGTCGCTAGCAGAATCCGTCAGTGGGTGTTTCTTAAATCTTTTCCAACATAAAAGTTGTTTGACACCCAGTCTCCTCCTACTCTCTCTGCGCAGAAGTCTTCTGCGCAGGGTGGGCGTGGGTAGCGGGGGACCAGTGCTCTCCCCGCTGGTGTCCGGTGAAGAGTCCTGGAGCCCTCTCGCCGATTCCCCCATCAGCCCCTCCTTACCCCTGGTGTAGCGCTGATTTGCTTCCCCATCTGCGGAGCTGCCTCTCTCCCTGCTGGGCCCTTCTCCAGCATCATTTGAGAGCCTTCCCTCCGCCTCTAGCTCCGATGTCAGTTCCCTGACATTAGTATTTTACTCTTTAAGAGCATCAACCTCCTTCCCTCCCTCTTTCTGACTTCCACATACCTTTCCATATTCTTCGCATTTCTATAATCACTTCTTTACCCTTTATCAAATTATAATATTTCCCTTTATTGTCGGTAAATCAGTTCCTTATATTTACATTACAAAACATTTCAGTTCAAGCCTAAAAAGGTTTTCAGTTGTTTGCAATTTTGAAATGTATGGTCTTAAGATACATAATTTTAAAGAAGCTTAAATTAGGATATCAATATATGCAACACATTTTGGCAGAGGAAAATTCCAAATAATTAGATCACAGCAGGGATTTTGTTTGTTTGCGTATCACTTGATATAATGCTGAGTATAGCCTGTACTTGGGAAGCAGAGACAACCAATTCAGGATCTGTGTCATAGCAACAAAAGACCACTTGTCCACAGGAAAAAAAAAATACTCTCTGTATTCACCACATGCTGTTTGCTTCATGTAACTGTTAGTGCTGTTCATTTTTGATATGAAGGCTAAACAAAACAGATTGCCTTGCCTCTGTAAATTCATGTGCATTAAATAAATGACCATAATGGTTTAGTAACCAGGCAGAAGGAAAGGGTTTCTCACAGACTATTTTTGCATTGGGTTTGGGATGGGGAACAAAATGCAAATGCTCATTAACAACAGGACTTTAATTCAACAGACTAAGCAGCTATTAAATTGTGGAAAGGCATTTAGCTATATTGATTCCAGATGACCACATAAATGCCAACTTCTAACAAAACAAGGCATTTTGAACTAAGCCATTGTGTCAGCGTTCAAGACTGAAGAAACAAAGTGTTTAAATAGAGAAACAGGAAGGTCTTCTCATATGGGAAAATCAGATATTTTGATCCTCCAATTGCATTGTGAGGATTTTAGCTGAGAGTCAGCATGGCATAGGGGTTGGAGAATCAGATTTGGATTTAGAA